TCCGCTCCACAGGCGCTGGTACCAAAAACCCTAAATCACCGAATTCGCTGAGAACCAGTACGCAGGGGTAGTTTGACCTCCTGAACACGAATATCACATCCGCTCAGCCTGAAACCGCCTGGCGCCCGCACCACATGCGATGGCGCCAAAATACCCTGGTACAAACCACTTAACTTATATACGAAGGTTATTTGACATATTGACATATCACTTCATTTTTAGCGTTGGCGCTTGGCGCTGCGATCATTTGCCCACTGCTAAGGCTGAACCTGACCTGAAGGAAATCACTCTTCTCCCAAGCTCACCCTTAGAGAGGCGCCAGAATGGCGCTAGCGTCGTAAAAGAAATGTCATATTTGTGATCAGGGCATCAAACAACCTCATTATGCAGGTTCTTATCGATTTTGATAAAAAGAGTTTGGCGCCAGATCAACGCCTAATGGCTGGCGCCAAATGGCGTCAGGGCTGAAAACCAATTTGGTATTCGTGATCAGGACATCAAATAACCGTACTATGCAAATTTACACTGAATTTGGTGAGGAGGCAGCTGCGCCAAAATGGCGCCAATTGGCGCCAATTTGGCGCCAGCGCTGAAAACGAGTATCATATTAGGGTCAGGAAACCAAATTACCTATGTGGGCAAAGTTTCAGCAGAAAAATTTGTTTGACTTTTTTGGGTAGTAATGGTTCAATAGTGCCGAAAAGCCTAATATAACTGAAAACAGAGTAAGGAGAGTGTTATTATGTACACTACTAGATAAATAGGTAATAGTGCTTTGAAAATATATTACTGCGTTTGAGTGGCATATTTTGATATTTTGCTTAGTGCTACACCTTGGCTACAAGAATCTGAAACTTACAAAACTGCATGCATTTCATAGGTTATTCGAGGTGTAATGGATCGAGCTTCATAACCATCGATCAAGCCAGTGAGCTGGTAGTACGCTGATTGACCTGAATTCGAATAAAGATAACTGGATCGGAAATTGTCGATTCTTAAGAGCTACTCAATATTACCTTCAAGTTTTACTTACTGCATATATACTGGGCGCCTATACAGGTTTTCTATGGGTAAAAGACTCTGACGTGACTGACACGGAGAAAGGAGCCTGTCCTGAGAACGTTACCAAAATCTACAGTAATTAGACTTATACCCCCTCCCGCATTAATTTCAGATCGAGTCTGTGCCATGCACACTGACGACATTTCAAGTTTCATGGCTGCAATTTAATTTAGCTGTAAGAGGCGTGCCCGAACTCCTTCGGTACTGTAGTAGTAGGTGCAGCGACGCGACTGCGTAGCGTTCTTCGTTCCTCTGTTCCTCGAGACTCCAGTGCCTGTACTCTCCTGAAATTGAGCCTCAGGCTGCGTTGATTCTTCACCATCTAGTCACGCGATTCGGAGATGGCGCCACTACGACTCACCTCGCTCCACTGCTAATCGTTTAGACTGTACATACTCACACAATATGATACTTATCGCAAACTTCGCGGTCGTTCTCTAATCTTGCGGCAGAGCCGCTTGTGTCGCTAACCTAAGTGTAAGTACCACCGTAGCGTAAGGAAGGTAGGACAGAGCGCACATCGTCCCACCTGTCCCGATTAGAGTACAAGTGTTCGTTCAGTATAAGGAGGGAGTAACTAAGAAAATCTGCAGGAGTGCCCTGTTTGCAGTGGTCCTGCATTGGAGGATTGTAGAGCAATAGGACAGTCTTCTATGACATTTCAGTAACTCACTGCCGACCAGTACATGTCATCTCTAGACGTGGAGGCGAGCGTTTGCTTGATGTAATCCTGGTTTTGGCCAACAAATTCCTTCATTCGATCACAGTACTGCGTGAAATTCGTGCAGTAAGTCTCTACTGTGTTTTGAATGTGGTAATGAAGCACTTCGCGGGAGAGTACACCTGGTAAAAGAAGCATTCAAAATTTAATGAAACGATCAGCATAATAAAAAAAGAAAAAAAAAAAAAAAAAAAAAAAAAAAAAAAAAAAAAAAAAAAAAAAAAATTACTTAAAGCAAGCACGTGGGCCCGAATGTGCTTGGATGTTACCTTCAAGGTATCCAGCCGCATAGGCCTGAAGCTCGGGCTCAAATTTTGCTCGAGTTTCAACCTCCAGGAAAGTCCATCTGCAAGAAAGCTCTTAGTCGTAGCATAGGAGAGCCTCCCGTTTTCCAACATTCAAGAAAGAGCCTTTACAATTTTCAGGGATAAGGAAATAGGTTAACTGATTTACCCGGATGCGTTCACTGCGTTCTTCCACTTTGCTACAGCAACCTGTTCCCGACAATCGAATCCTTAAAAGGTAAGAAAAATAAGAAAAAGGTATAATAAGCAATCGAGCAGATGAGCAATCTTACTTCTTCTGAGGATACTGAGGATAAGCCACGCACTCGCTCCTATCGGGAGTCCACCACGTGTTTAAAGTGCGCATGGCCTATGCAATTATAGGTTCCAGTCTGCGTAGAGTTTAATATTTGCTTCCTTGGAGATGGGCTGACAGTACCAGCTATTGAGTTGATCGGAGAGGTCTTCCTCCACTACCTCCTCCCGACCGATGGCAAAGTTTTGGGATATTCCGTAAAACAGTTGCTAAACTGATCGGCGAAAGGACCACAGAGGGACAGCTGGGTGGAGAAAGGTTGTATTTTGCAAAATTTGCGAAGACCCAGTGTTTCAGAACTTGCCTTACCCTCTTCCTCAGCATGAGGCGTCGTATTTTTACCGTTCCTGATATTCCACTGTTCTGCTCTACCTCATTCTCGGATTTTGGGGAGTGTGAGGGGACCGTTTTGAAGGGAACTTCTCCACATTCTCACCTATATGAGGTTCTCTGACCAGAAGCAGGGTTTATTGAGGGACGACTGATTTATGCAAAACTGCAAGACTCCCTATCAATTTGAAAAATATTGTTATTCTCACTTTTTCTGTAATTTTGGTCCGTTGTTACCGTCATTACGATCTCTGAGATACACTTGTTGCTTGGATGCGATAACGCAACTTGTGAAGAGACGATAACAAGTCGAACCGCCACGATCACAAAAGAAGTCTTACCATAAAATGTTCAAAGTAGATCGTTGTCATTTTTAGCTCTTTTTCCATAGAGATGACATCACGAAGCGGGAAGGGGGCTATTTTTAGCTTTCTCACTACGGGCATGCCATCGCAAATGGGAAGGTATACTCGAAACCCCTGAGATCGGGTAGGCGTGGCCGCATGCTTCAACTTAACCTGAAGGTGTCTATGCTTCTGGTGAGATATTTTCATCTTGACACAATTGTTGTCGTGTCTCTGTTCAACACAGAACAAGATGACAGTTGTCCCAGACTGGAATATTCCACGAGTAACCAGTTCCGTGCCATGTTCAATGCCACGCCTACTCTTGCTCAGGGATAAGGAGTGTAGGGGTACGCGAAGAGGTAGGAAAAGGTACGCCCTCCCTTCAAGGCCATGTCGTACATATAAATCTCTTGACTGCCTCGGAACTTGTTAGGAGTTATTGTAAGAGTATAACTAATGGAATGGACCCATAATCCCAACAAAATTGGGATTAAAGCAATAAGGCAAGTAAAAATACCTCACCGTTGAGTACAGTCAGTTTTCCGTCAACAACACACATTTGGTTGTATGTGTATCGTTCATCCTTGCCTTCTGATCCAGCGCTCACCAAACCTTAAAATAGGTTATACTGTAGGAGTTTTCATAACCAATAATTGGACTATTTTCAAGTACTCAAGTACTTTTACAGTAGTTCTAGTCAAAAAAAGAAGTGCATGGAAGCGAATTTTCCTGTTATTGCTGGCTTATTTTATGTTGCAGTTGCTTAATATTTCGAACTGTGATTTTGCTGTGATATTTACTTTGGTAATAACGAAAATACAATACAAATGGAATAAATTATAAAATATTTTAAATAATAATTGATAAGGAAAATATGTACAATACAAATGAAATAAATTACAAAATATTTTGAACAATAATCAATAATTAGCATATAAATGAAATAAATAATTAATCAAAAATGAACATTAAATTAATAAATAATTTAATTGTGCGACTTTGTTTATACCTAATTTTCCGAAAGATCAGCGATTTCGGTTACATTTATTCGGTCTGTTCTTTGATGTTCATTGATCTATGCAGTAATTGTTATCCCTATTCGTTTTTTCTATAAGTCTCAATAAGTAAAAAGTTCTGAGACCATTTTTTGAGACATTCTTGAGATTGGTATGTTTAAACATTTCTTTAAGTCTGTAACCTGTTGTTTTGCTATTATTATCTTTCATTGATTTAATTATTGTCACTTTATTTTAATATGATATTTCGATTTATTAGTTGTTAAAAACTAACCAGTGATGAGCAATACAGAAGCCAAGCAAGTGGCCAGCATTATTGAGCTGGGAATGAATGGAAACTCTTATCTCCCTTTTACTACGGCTTTTGGCTCTTATCAAGAATAATCGCCTCGATTCTCTCGTGCTCTCAGTTGCAACTTTCATACTGAATGGTGCACTGAGCAGTAACGTTCCTGCTCACCCCATTAGAAGTTCTATGAAACCCCGAAAGAAACGTACGGGATGCCATTGAATGCTCCTACTTCTACTCGTTTCATTGAAGAAGAATCGAGTTTATCCTCTGATCAACTACAACGCTAATATCGGCACATTCTATCCGGGCGGTGTTACGCGGGCTAGAATGGGCCCGCCCCGTCGGCGTTATCTACCAATTGTACCGATTAGTGATCGATCTAGGAAGAAAACAACCAGCGGTTTTAACGCCGTGCGTGGGCTCACTCATAACCTCTAGGCACCGCCCCGAATCATTAAGGCGATAACGACTGTCCAACAACCTGACTGTCCTACAGCAAGACCCTATCCTAGAGCCTACGGAATTGTGGGCCAAATAACAAAACCGTTCAACTTTTCAGGTTTTGCGGGCACACCTTGAACATACAGATCACCTTGCAGCTTCAAGAAAGTTCAGTGCATGCAGAAGCCACAGTCTTCTCGCGCCCTATTAGTTTTTACTTTTGAAAGTCATGTTTTCTGATAACAAAATAACTGTGATGACAACGGTACCTGGTTTTTAAGAATTCGTGATCAGTGGTCATATTGCCCTTGATAAGAGCACTGATAATCGGCGGCATGTTCATGGAGTGAGGACAACAAAGAGCGTTTGGCAATCGGGAAATGGTGAGGGAATAATCGCATGTTGAAAGTCCAATTGAGGCAAAATCTAACGCTCTCTGTGGGAGGCCTTTTTGCGCTGTGTAGGGGGTGAGGGTCAAAGCTAACATGCAACATGCATGCACTGAAATCAGATAACGTTTACAGGATGACGTGAAGATCTAGGCAAACATCCTCGGGATTTCTCAATTGGCAGAAATGACCCCTCGATGCTAAAGAAGGACTGTAGCACTGTGGCCAACCTGAAGCAGATGCATAATTCCAGGGTCCAACCACTGAGATACAGATTCCTGGAAGTCGCTCGGGTCTAGGTAACACCAGTCGCCCTCTTGGCTCACGCTACTCGCAACTTAATTTTTACAGTTCGATCCTGCAATTCAGGTTGATTTTTAAGCGCACTGAGATGTCAGCTGGATGCATCCCGAAAATAGAAGGATTGACGCTAGGGTTCGACGTGAATGTCCATAGTATAAATTTATTCCATCATTCCGTTTAAGATAAAATTTATTGGTGCACCCCAATTGTCTTTTTTGCCCCTTCGCTTCCTGAAGGTTCGGATTAATTTCTTGCATAATGAACTAGTTTGAGCCATAGTCCACTGCAAAGAGCAGGAAACATCGACCCAGTTGTTGTCTTTCTTACAAGACTATGTGGAGAAGTGAAACACATGTACGGGTAATTCCTGGAGGGATCCGTTCGTTCCTTCCAGCTTGTACGTTCTTGCTTCATTGACGGCGTCGAAAATATGCGCTAACTGAAGAGAGAGCAGACGGCGAAGAAATGAGAGAAGCCAGAGACCAAGAAAGGCACAGAGTTCATCGTACCCCCAGAGAGGTCCCTTTCAGGGTAGGGATTGCGGTGGTGACCGGACCATCCAAACAAAAAATCCCCAGTTTGCTTTCCTGTGCGCATATCAAAGCTAGTGGGTAGGTTTCAAGATACACCTCCAAATTCCCTAACACCTTAAGAGCCGTGGGGTAACGTGGGTAGAAGGAAGCTAGGGGCATCAGCATTTGCAAGAAATGAGAGTGAGACAAAGTGGGGCCCTACAACGCGTCAAAATAGGCGAAAATCGGAATGGGTGAATGTCCAAATGTTTCTAATCCGAACCCGTTCCCTTTCGCCCCCTTCCGAAAAGTGAAACATAGCTATAACCTGAGGCGTGCATCTCGTGTCCTCCCAGCCCCTTTTGTGAGCTCGAATATTGATTGATGCATATCGTGCATCTGTGGGCCGGTCCCTCAATTCAAGCAAGAGATTTTCTTCCAGTTAGGCGGCGTTCAGACTTCGCGAAGAGGCGCGTCGAGGCGCCCTAATGGGCTACAATTGCAGCGAATGCAGTTGCAGAGGAGATTTGATCGTGCCGCATGCGCCATCCTAGCGGTCGTTGTCGGTCTACACCAGACTGCGACTATGGGGATACTGGAGGGTACGTGTTTAGGCAGCACGTACCCTCCGATTTCCCCATAGTTTATCAACACGCGGCGCCGGTCTAATCCCAGCTACGTTTGCGTCTGTAGAATTGAAGCGCTTTTGTAATGCAGCGCGTTACAGTGCGTCGAGGTGCGTTATTGCAAATTCTCAACGCTACCTTGGATTGGACATACGCTGTGTGCTTACTGCAAGAAGATCTTTACTGGCAAGATGGATCCATGCCAAATGCGAGATGCATAGGCACACAGCTGTAGTATTGTTCCACTTCACCCTTCGGAAGTGGGGGGAAACGAAGTCACGTTTCAGACAGGACTCCACCCGCAGCTCAATCAGCAGACGCATCGCGCGACCAGACATACGCCTTACGGCCGAACACGTCCTTGCCTCTGCCGCATTTGGTTGTTATCTACATTTGGCCTCGATAGGACACCTGCCGTTCATGGGACGTTCACGCCTGCCAGTCATGGTTTGCGGGACCCCCTCATCGACGCTTATGCCGCTCGTTGTGCACAGTGGGCGGAGTCCGAAACGGCACCCAGCTATCACAATCCACCATATTCATGGATTTTGATTGCGTTTCGGAGGTCCCGCAGGCAGCACCACAAACGGCAAGCGTCCAATCGCGGCTAAGTGTAGATAGCAACCAAATGCGAGAGAGGAGAGAGCGCAGACAAGGAGCGTGCTTGCTCATAGTTAGGCGTATGTCTGGTCACGCGGTGCGTCTGCTGCTTGAGCTGCGGGTGGATTTCTGTCTAAAACTACTCACAGGCATCATTTGGGCGCACTTTCAAGTGACCAAGGTAGTACATTTTTACCGCTGCCTACAGGTTTTCTTCTCTCATGTCGGGGGTCAGGATCGTCGAGGGTGAAGCTGTAACATGTATTGGAGCACTCATTGTGCCTTCGAAGAGAGTACATACTCATAAGGATACCGTACTCCGTAATCCAACACGAAACTTTCCAGAAACAAAGATTTCATGAATCAATGTTCAAAACCAAATTCGTTCGCAACCCGTTAATCAGCTCCGCAGACGATGTCGATTCAGTGCTCATTCTAAAGAGTCTTGCTCGGATCTACAACTCCTACACGTCACCACTTCTGAGAAACATTGGGCCCTTCTTCCTATGTAAGAAAAGGTCGTTCCGATGGGGTTGATCGATGAATCGTTAGATAATCTTGCAGTGATGACGCGAGTTCCCCCATTCGTCCCAAGTTTTAGATCAGTCAGCTGTTGTTGGATGAGGCGTGCATCACAGCAGTGACGCATTTGAAGCATAAATACACGTGACATGCTACACGAACCCTAGCCCAATTACTCATTGTCGTGGAAAAGCAGGAACTGCTTTGTGTCCTCGTGGTATCACCCTTTTACCTCGGTCTTTAATACTTTGAGTTTTCAGTTGGAGGATGTTGAACTTTATTCTCGCCTGAAAAGCTTATTTTGGAGTTTTTATCTCATCAGTTCGATTTTCGAGAAGATCATGGCTCTTCGAACCCATAGAAATGCCCCACAGAAAAGCTTCTCCCGTGTGTGCAGCGACAGACTCCATTTTTGGCCCCTGGTTCACATGAAAACACGAATAGGGCTCGTTGTACGTTGGGGACCCTCAGCGAGGGAGGGGGGGGGGAGCATGACTGCTGGAGAGGAGGATCGTGCTTGCTTGTGGTAGAAATGTTTTCGGTTGTCGAATTTTTTCTTCTTTTTCTTGTTTTTAGTGCTATACACACCCCACTCCCTGCTCCATTACGTAGGATGGCGAATGAGGAATTAAGTCGCTCTAAAGGAAGAATTATTGAGGGTGTTTTATTTTGCAAAAATCTACCTAGCGGTAGGACGTGACCTGGATGGTGCGAACCAGAAGAAAGGTAACTCCACGGAGTGACAATGAATGATCCAACCACGGTAAAGCATCGTGAGATGGTGGTGTCAGAACGTTCCCCCGCGGGGGGGGGTTGATACGACCTCTCTCCCTTCTCCATACCTACTTACCACTTTCCTACAAGTTCCCAGCTTCCTACCAGTTTTTCCGAAATTTTTCACTTTTGCACCCCAATAATTTCCGCTGGTGCTGAGGCTGGGGATAGCACCATGTGAAACTCCAAAGCGGCAAATTTAGGTCAGCACCTAACCTCTTCCCCAAGCAATCGAGTAGGACCCTCCATTGTTTCAAACAACGATACTGTATCCTGGATCCAACTACTATGGATTCAAACCACGGTTGTACCTGACTACGGTCTCTAATTGTAATCCGTAGACTACGAACTTGCGCGACAAAAAAAATTGTTTCTGTAAGGAGTGAAAGCTAAGGAATAAGACTTTCTCCGCTGATTAAACCGTTTTCAGATGCGGTGCTCATTCTACTCGTTCAGAAACTTGAAATTCCATTGAATTAGAAGCAGGGATCACCATGACAAGGGCCATTACTTACAGCCTCCTAGACCATTGTGGTACTGTGCTAAGCGCGGAAGTTGGAGGGCCTGGTTTACCTGGGCGAAAGCGATCCAGGAATTGACCTGAGAACGGAGCGCGTGGTAAGCGGTCCACTTGCTGCTACATAGTTTTCGCATATCATCGCTTATTTCTACAGACCACAAGTAGGAGGTCTGAGGAACTGGTTTCTTGAATCTTGTCGATTCGTACCAGCTTGTAGCGAAACTGCAATCGCTCCGGACCCGCTTTTTTCAACTGTCACGTACAAATCACACAGACGTAGAACAAGTTTTAGATAGTTATTCGTTCAACTCAAGCTCCATATCACAAAGTCTGGA